TTCTGTTAAGCTGCAGTGAGGCACTTTACTTTGTGTCAAAACCGCGAATCCTGATACCATTCTTTGACAATGCTGTCCACTGAACCTCAAATACTAATAATTTATATAATAGCGATAAGTCTTAAGCATTAGTTGCGTTCCTCTTAATCAGCCAAATTCCACTTTACCTGTAAAATGAAAGAAATGTCGAATATTCCACGAAATTCCCAGTTAGAGGCAGTCACTCGGCGTCACGTGGCATGTGTTCATTGGTTGAAAAGAAGCTGAGACAAATTCCGACATCCTTTTAATTTTATCTAACACTTTTTGTGTGTGGTCCTTTTCTTTTGTTCTTCAATTCGGGTGGTGATTGATAATTGGTTGGAACCTATTCAACCTCTTCGTACACTCTCGTCTTGCTTGATTCGTCTTCCAGACAAAAGAGTTTGACGAAACGAAATCTAGCGACTTGCCGGAACTTAACGATCTAAAACTTGAATTATACATTAAGTCCATTAAAACTGTTGACTAGAGGGTTCGCTTGGTAAATTTAACTTTTCAGTTGCAGCAAATCAAGTGTATAGAATGTTAGCTTAGAATTGGTGGATTCATTGGATTGAATTTGAATCTTTTAAACTAATAGGTGATGCCAGTAGTCAAGTCACTAATATCGACGGACCGGCTCCCTGAACTAATCGAAAAATCGATGCAAATCGATTTCCCCGCGGATTAACATTCGGCGCTGAATTGAATTCACCCAATGACCTCCTTTAGACAGAAAATTGCTTTTTTTTCAATCAAGAGTTTTTATTTTATTATTATCAAAATTATATCGAAAGAATCAACTTTAAAACAATTTTAGGGCAACAACACTTCAAAGGTGGGTGGGAATTGCGCGGTATACACATCTGCACTTCCAAGACAAGCTAATCGGCTTCTGCAGTAATACGCTAACACAATTGGAGCGTTTTTTAACACCAAAAATGACTTGCAGTGACACCCACATTACCGTGAAACAACGATTACATTCAAAGTGGTAACTGGAGCGTAACTTTAACATTTGCCATTTAGCACAATAAAAGTAAATGCCTAATATTTCTTTAGCACTAACCTGGTACCTATTTGTTCCCCGCAACAGCTTACCGCAAAACTACACATTCTCCGTAATACTACTCACTTTAGATTATTAATGTATGCCATTTTGCTTACAATATTAGGAGCTTGGGCTGCGCGTAATTTTTTCAACTTTATTAGTTTATGAAAAATTTAGTGACTTCAATCCGGTTTTCAGGTTAGTCCAAGTGGTAAGAACGAGTCTAACGCCGAATGTAGGAATTCAGGTTGCCAGGTAAGGCTTTAGCACCGGTGAAGTGACATTTTGGTCTAAAAATTTACCTTTTTCTATTTTTTTTCCCAGGTTCAAACTTCTGTGTCCGAAGCAAAAGAATTTGTGGTGGGTTTTGTAAAATTTTTTGCTAATTTTTTTGTTTACACCGCCAATTTCTACACATGCAGCTCACTCGTTAGTTTTACTAGCATCTTGATGGACGTGATTTTGGGTGGACAGAGAGATTTTATCTAAACATTTTGCGCAAATTCTAGCACATTTGCTGCCTTTTAGGTGGTTGGACGGAGTATGGAGGACAAAAACCATGAACAAGTAAATCAATGACACGTTTAGTGCGCCAATTTAACTGTATTTATAGTGCCTTGTTAATAACATGTTGCGTAAAATTACGCTTGATTTAAATTTGTCCGGAAGTGTCTGCACTTTGTAACAAAAAATGGTCAAAGTGCCTCATTAAAAACAGAATACAACACTTAGATTTAAAGTTGCAGATGTTAGCGTACTCGGGAAAGGGTAAATTGATCTTTACGCTACCCGACTCATTATCAGGCTTTTGATTGGTCAATAGCAAGGAACACATAAACATCACTTTAGCCAAACACAACTTAATGTGCCATAAAGACTAAAATGGCTTGCAAGTAAGTCTGGAGAAATCATTGGAAGTCAGCGTTAATTCGGTCATCCGTCACCATGTGAAAACGTGAACACAAACTTGGTTGACCTTTAATGATGATTGTATTGAAACTATCACTATCAATTATGAGGTTTAGGAAGCCGATAATTTTAGATCGTGTAATGGTTGCCTTACCAGGTCAGCATCCAAATATTGCGAGGTTAATGACCACACGATAAAGTGCAAATGTCTACAATGAATAAAACTCCTGTTTGATTAAGCAACACTAACCAGCGATCTTAACTGTTCCAAAACAAAACTTAACGAGATCGTAAAATATATGGCAAAAATCGACTGATCACGTGACAGAGTCATTAAAAATCAATGTCATTGATATCGCACAAGTTATACTTTGCACTTTTGAGTGAAATGTGGACACTACACCCAAGACTGCTGATTTAAACAAATTCATAAATTCAAACATTTTTTTGAAATTAGCTTAAGGGTAGTCACACATTAAGAAGTTTGAGGGAACAGAAGAAGAGGCTAAGCAGACGGATTCATCGTGTGTGGCTCAAGTTTTGGCTATTGGCATGTAAAGCATCGAAACAAACAAAATGATTTCCTGGACACATGACGCTAGTTTTAAAGAGGAAGGGGACATTACTTTAACATTCTTTTTGATCGTCACAAAATTTTGACCTCGAAAGTGAAACCCGCAAGTAGTTTTAGGCAAGTGATCACAAATGCCACTGACCTGAACAGAAAAGTAGACATTTTGATTGGTCATGTCTGGTGGCAGCTTCGATTTGAAGCATTACTGCACTAATTGCCAATAAGTGATCTGCGTCTCGTTTCCACAAGATAAATTTACCTCAAATATGCTGCTTTTCACGAATGATTTGTCCGTACAAAAGAGGTCCTTTGCAAACGTATCAGAGACTGTCCTAGTTTGATGGCGACCCAACATGCAGATCAAAAATTCGTCAGTTCAGGTAAGGACCACGCATCAATATTAGAGAATTCGGACAGACATTCTACTAAGTAGAATAATAAGAATTCCCTTATTGTGGACTAAATTATGCTCGAAATATCTAGAAAGAAAATCGGTAGGTTCTTACAAAATGCTGATGTGCTAGTTACTTTAATACGACGACACAATTGTTTGGTCCTGAGCTCTTTTTTCAAGAACGTGAATTGGAACCATAAAAGCTGGTGAATTGTGAAAGGTGGATTATTAAACATGTAAAATGCCACACGCCGCGACTTTAGATGTAGAAACAAATCAGATTTTTGAATTCACCTAATTTGAGAATCTTGGCTCGACCAATGAGAAGAGAGTGTTTTCCAAGTCATTTTTATCCTGATAACAACAAATTTTGCAAACTCAATCTATTACCTTGGTAATAAAGTACATAGCGTAAGATATTTTAACTTAAGTAGCTCTAAAAGCAACAAAACCAGTGTTTAAAAGAGTTGCTGAGTGCTGATATCATTTTGAAGGGCAGTCAACTAGTCAGATAGTTTTGTCCGTCAACTTATACATGTAAAACTTGATTGTGATTTTAATATGCGTAATACGTGATATATGCTCTATTCTATGTGGTATTAGTTTTTAAATTTTAAAGTTTACAGCATATCTCGTTCAAATACAATAATAAATGAGATATCTTTGTAAATGTGGAGCTTTGAGGTTTGTGCACAATCTATTTTCCTGCACCCAGAAGGTGGTATTTTAGAAATTGTGGAAGTTATAAAAAATGAAGAGCGATACCAGATGATAATAATAATGAAATCATGCTGACAAATTTTAGAGCTGCTGAAAGCGTTCATCTACAGTAAATAACTAACGTAAATGCCCTTTTAACTGAATGAAAAGAGAGGAAATACGTACATCTTATTCCGAACGGCTATTTTGAATTTTAAGTGTAGACACGATGTCATTGTATTGAAAAAATAAATAAATAATTGTTTTTCGTAAGTAGCTAATCATAATGTATAAGATACTTCAAAAAACTGCATCAGCTAAAAAATTCGAAATTAATTCTTTTTGTTACATAATGAAAACGTGTTAACTAGAGAATCTATTGATGCCATTTTAATATTTGTCCTTTCAGCACCGAAACAGCTTTACCGACGTCAACAAAATCCGTAGTGCTTACTTTTTTACTTGGTTCTAAAGTTCTGTACAATTATCTTCATGAAAAAGTAGTCAATTAAATTAATTCGGCATGTGTGTGTAAATTCCAGAGATTTATCGGTCAAAGATATTATACACTAGAAATTAGATAAATGCAAAATTATCAAATAAATGGCTCTTTTAGTTAATATGATTCTAGGGACGATGTACCTTTGATGAAATCGAGTTATTAAATGATTGAACCGAACAGATTGGGTCAAACTCGCATAAACAAGACAGCGCGCTAAGTTTGAGATAAATCGGCGGGTTGTGTGGCGATTCCAAAATATCACATTAATATTTATGTAAAAACGTTTTTTAATGTGTTCTAATGTTTGTATATCTGCTGTAAGCTATGTAAGTTATATTTCAATTCGTGGCGAACTAAATTACTTCAAAGTTAGCGGACTTGCCACACCATGCAATCATTTCCAGTACATTGTATTTACAAAATTCATAAAGTTATATTATTATTATTAATGTTGAGCTCTGGTAGCACATTAAAGAGTCGAAATATTGCGTACGTTTTGAAATGTCTATTATCTGTAATTCGCCTGTATCGATCCGGGAATCATGCTTTGATTAGTTGTCCTTACACTTTCCCCGTCAATGTACACGCGTTCATCTTGTGTTTTTTTCATGCATTGCTGTCCTATGCATCTTACTTCTCTCGCTTCCCATCCTTGTATGTTCCTAATATCTGAAGGTTTACGTAATAATGTTTATATTATGACGGATAGAAATTGCATCATTAATTGTTCATATATCTCATTGTGATTACCAGCACCTATATCAAGCTCCTTGTCTTTTTCCCTTTTACAACTAATTTCAGGTTTTGATGCATATTTGAACGACAAATTTCTTCTCCTTTAGTGTCCACTATGGTTGCTGATAAAGCCACGGAGTCTAAACCACTGCCGAGTCGCGCTGCGAAATCGAAACATTCGCTCATAAGGGTCGGCTCCAGCAAGACTAGTCCCAAATTTGCTACACCTCAAAAGAAGAGGGCAAAAATTGTCCGCTTTACAACCGATGACTTCACTTGGCAGTGTTGGCAGTGTCTAAGTGCCTTCTCAAATAACGTTGATCTGGTTGAGCACTTAAAGTCTTGTGACTCTCGAAATGCTGGAGAAGGAGAAGTCATCCTTGCCATCGATGACTCCCTGCCTGGATGTCCTTTTTGTCCCCGTGATGGTTGTCAGGCTGAATCGAAGCCATATTACTTCCAAGATTTCGACACTCACGTAGAGAGGCATCATGCAGATGTGAAAAAACTCTCCTGTCCCTATTGTACTGAGAAAATCGCATCCCCTCGTCTCCAAGCCCTCACTTTTCACATTCTCACTGATCACCAGATTCACTGGAGACCGAGTCCAGGTTGGTTGTCCTTTTATCATACCTGTCACCTGCATTTACTAGTCGTTGCTTTAGTGCCTCACCTATCCACTATCTTTTCAGCCTCAATGGTATACCAGCGAATCGATGATGTGGTGCATCGTGTAGTAACTTGTCTCGGCTGTGGTTGGTGTACCTTTGTGCTGCGTGCCCAGGACGCTGTACAGCCGCCTGCTTCACTGGCCTCTCACATGTCGCGTTGCGCCGGTCGTGGCGGTCGCCTCTCGGTGCCTCGTCTGCCCCCAACTCCCCGGCGTTCCACAAAAAAGTTCACTCGCACCTTCGTCAACGACCTGACCACTCAATCAACTCTGGCCGGGGATGCCTTTGCTGCGCGCTTCCCCACTGTCCGGGGCTTCGCGTCGCCACTGACACCGTCTTCGACCGACACGGAGGCAGTCACCGTCAAACGACTGAAATACCAGTCTCCTCTGAAAAAGGTTTCCCCTCCGCTTCCACCTCCTCTTTCCTTACCTTCACCCATTTCCCCCGTTTTGCCGCCTGAAGTCAAACCTCCGGAAAACCCTCCTACGGAATCTGAACAATCACCGAAACCTGAAAGCGCATTAACAAACGGAAATGTGAGCTGAGGGTTTTTGTTGTTAGCTCATAATGGTCCATCCGCCGGCTATTACTAGGAGACTTGGCTGTTAGCTGTTGTCCGGTGTTATGCTATACCAGCCTTCCCTTCACTTCCAGTCCCTCGCTGACGAATCGGAGCCGCCCTCTACATCACTGGAACCCCAAGCGCCACAACGAAAGAAGCCAAAATCTGTGTCGGCCGCTCGCTCCTCCGCGACCCCCCGCAACCAGTTTGTCCCGCCGGGTGTCTTCGACGTGCCTCTCGACCTGCCTCCGTCCCCACCGAAGCCATCTTCGGGTAGTTCGACTCCCAGCGACAGGAGTGCCAACAAGAAGGCCGGCGTCTCTCGTGTCTACGTGTGCCCGATCTGCGGGGACAATGCGCTTGCGAGTTTGCGAGAACGCGACAAACACCTTCAGTCAGAACACACCGGAGAGCTTGTCTTTCCTTGTCAAGTATGCAGCTTTATTACACTTAAAATTGTCATTTCTGTTCATTGGTGCTAGTGTATTAATATAAATGCGTCGACTGAAGAGGTTACGCAATTAACATTGGGTTCATGGTGCACCTGTACTGCTTGTTTATTTTCAGTATACCGACATACTTTCGTGCTGCGTACAACCTCATGCTGGTAATTTTTTTATAGATGTTAGCGCCAAAGTCCACATTGGTGTCCCATACCTGAGACAAGTTCTGTTGCCATGTCTGCTTTAACGAATTCTGACGATTCGTTTGAAAACCCCACACATCACTCGGTCAGACGTTTTAGGTGACTTTGGTGCACCTACGTCGCATACGCACCACCCCATTGTTCATGGTGCCAAAGTTGTTGTCTTCACTCAATAAATTAGTCGGCCGAAGCATCAGCAGGTGCTCGATAGTGATTCCATCTATTGTGCCTCATTTGCGCATTTTACTGCGGAAGTTTGGATTCCGAGTTTTCTGCCGGCCAACAAATGTCGGTGTCTGCCTCGGAGGCCTAAGAAGTATCGTTTTGTTCTCCCTCCTCCTCCCTCCAGCTTTGCGGAATGGCCTACCCGGTGTACATCGCGTTGCGTCGTCACGCCGTGCTGAAACACAACGCCAACTACGACGCGGTGCTTTACGGCCAGCCCGACATGGATCCTGTGGAGTGTCCCTACTGCGAGTTGGTGGCCTTCACGAGTCCCGAGGTGTTGCAGCTGCATCTCGCCAAGATTCACCCCGAACAGTTCCAGCAGCAGACCGTCGTCTCAGCGGTCGCTTCTGCGCTCGCTGGAGATGAATCCGACGACATCAACGACAAGGACTGGACGGAGAGCGGCAAACAGCCTTCTTCGGCAGCGACAGCGGCGGCAACGCCAGCTCACTCCACTGCCACCGCTGGCGTGAGTTCCAGTGGAGATAAGCTACATAGTAAGGGTAGGTTCTGTGCCAGTCCGCTTTATCCACAGTGTGTATGCATGTTGGCTTTGTTGTTCCTCGATCTCGTGTAGATCGAATTTCTCACGTCGTCTTGTTATCGACGCTTGGGCATCTTCTGCCAATGGCATGGTAGCACACTTTTATCACCTGACAAACTAACCCCTTTTGTATGTTTTCGCGTGGTCAGGGTGATAACCTATTCCCTAAATTGGGTAATCGGTTTTTTCGTGGTTCGTGTTCAAAAGGGAGGAGAGGGCGTCCGAGGACTAGACCTTACACACCGGCGGATCTTCTTGACAATCCAGACCTCTTGGAGAGAGTGGAGTCCTCGCTTCAGATGCGTCAGGCCATCGCACCAGGTAGACGTGGCCGTGGAAGAGGTCGAGGTCGCGGCGGCGGCGGCGGTGGACGAGGTCGGAGACCGAGGGCAGCATCACTGTTGGGCGCGGCTGTGCCTTCTCCACCGGCGACGGTTGGCAGCAGCCAGCAGCCTGCCGAGGAGACAAGCGACGCCTGCGCCATTCTCACCGACGCCGATGGCCATCCGATCGACGACGCGTCGGTGGTGTCCAGTAGCGCTGCTTTGCAAGCACCCCCGCCGAACGCCGTCAGTGCTCTCGAAGCGGTTCTCGCCCAGACCTTGCCCGACCACGCGCCAGTCTGTTGCCGTCTCTGCGGCCCTGAGGTTCAAATCGTTCTTGACAACGCTAAAGAACTCTGCATTCACATGGAGCTGGTAAGTCGCCTCCGTTGTCGTCTTCAGGAGTTTCGTGTTTGATTTCACGTCCTGCCCTTCGCCCAGGACCACAATCCAGCGTCGGATTGCGAACAGCTCGGTTGCCAGGCCTGCGGACGCATTTTCTTCGGTCCGCACCACCGCGCAGACCTAATCGGACACTTTCGAGTCGTCCATCAGCTGCAGGAAGCGGCCCTCTCCTGCCCCAACCACGAGCCCGTCGAGCTGCTCTCCACCTCGGGCCATGGGGAGGATCAGCTGAAGATCACGGGCGGCGGGTGTCTGGCCAAGTTCACGTCGGCGCGTCTGCGCGACAGCCACCTGCTTGTGACCGGTGTGCCGGGGTGGTCTTGTCCGCTGCACTTGGAGAACGAGACGGTTCAGGCGATGACGGTGGCTGAGACCGTTGCTGCCAACCCACCCCTCGACACCATGGTTCTGGCCACGGAAATCGCCGCCGACGCTGCTGGACAGATGGTTCTTGCCTACGGTTGCCCTCTCTGTTCTCGAGTCTTCACTGGCGAGAACTGCACGGCAAGGTAAGCTGGAGCGATTCTGTCTTCATCTGGACCTCGTTCTTAGATCAGCGGAACGCTTCCTTCAAGTACCAGGGGTGATTGATGTGTTCCCTTCTTTTAGATACCACGCCCACCAATCGCAGTGCGGTGTTCGCGTAGCGGAGCAGTCTATGGTCGTCGAGAACCCGGACACCACCGAGGCTCCGCTTGTGGAGGATCAGCCTCCACCAGCCACAGAAACCCAGTAGCCCCCTCAATGATCGCTGGCGCGAGAGGGTTGGGGCAGGAGGAGGAGGGGAGACGCTGCCTTTGTGTAAATAACCACCGTCAACGCCCGCACCTCGCTTAAAACGCCCTTCTTTTATATATATCCGCCTAATATAATTATTCGTCCCTCCGTTTATGTGTATGTGTGTTTCACGTCAATTGATGGAACCTCATTGGCCCCCTCACTCAAGCAATTTGGTCCCAATTCCTCTCTCTCTCTCTACATGTATATGTGTGTGTTTAATAATTACTAGACCACTCACGGACCGTTTATATCATTTTTGCTATCAAATATACACACAGATTGCCCCACTGGCTGGCTATCTGGTTTGAACCCGGAGCGTGTTTGGGTGGGGGGTCACCACGCTGCCGCTCATCAAGCCGAAATGGCTCTTAATTACACTAGGTTCTTATTTGGTTGCTGATGTTTTCGCTAGGCAAGTAGAACGCACTTGGGTATGCCTCAGCGGTTACTTGTCGACAAGCAGTTGAGTGCAAGTTCTCGTCGAAATGCAACTCTCCCACAAATTGCGTATTCGGTTGTAGTCTTCGAAGCGTTGAGTGTCAGTTTTTCGATGAAAAGATTTTCTTCGCGCTAACAGTTAAGTCTTTTGATGCGACTGGGCGAGTGGGGGATGGAAGTGGCACGTGTAATGTCAGCATCGAAATCCGTCCGAAGCTGACTGTTCTGCGGTGAATTAGCCGGCGTTTAGCATTTCGGGATGACCAGTTGTGAGCGACGGAGTCACACACTCTTCAAGTGGTTTGACTGGCGCATCCAAGGTCATGCGCTCGGACCAATCACAAACGTGGGTGAGGGGTTTGCGCAATTGACTGTGTGACCGGTTTGCTGAAACATGGCGCACATGTCGGTGCATGTTGACGCGTCAAGTGCGATGATGGACGCGAAGGTACACGACCCACCACGACAGAAACGCACAACAGTTAACACAGGCCGCGTCATTACTCATCAGTTATCGGCAAAATAAACGCATACACGCACAATGTTATTTAAAAAGGATGCATATTTATTGGCACACCAGAGCCAATCCGAAAGCGTGTATCGCGAGTCTTCAACTTTTTTCAATACGCAGCAATCAATATGACCGGATAATCGATAATTACGAATGGTGGTATTCACGTGACTGTAGTGCGCC